GTTGTTGTCTGCTTTGTTTGGATCTTGTTTCTCCTTGGACATCAAGTCATCATCACCGGTGTATCAAGAGAATTTTATTGTGTGACCATTAACTAAACAAAGTGTGTAGTAGAGTCTTAAGTGAGTTACGGGTTTTAAATTTCATATACACCTAAGATTTGGCTATGTTAGTCTATGTCACCTTGTTTCATTGTTCCATCTTATGAATATTGGGTCGTAGGTTTAATATACCTAAGATTTGTATTTGGTCTGTTCTTTAAAGTTAAGAATCTATCCCACCAACAATCTTAGAGACTAATGCCCTTTGGAATTGCGCATCACTACCTCCATATAATAAATGTTTCAAAGACATTAAAAAGCAAATTTTGAAGAACTATTTAAAAAATATATCCAGATGACATACATGAAATGTTTTGGAAGAACCACATAATAAATTTCGTCGAGAAGATGATTGTTATACACACTAACTATTTTACATTATACTGTAGTTCTTAAATTGCTGTTCCTTTTAACTTATGTTTATTATCTTAAATCATATAGAATGCTATGCCTACTGAATTAATTTTAACTGTTTAATTTATTTTGTTAATTAAATATGTGAGTTCTAGAAGACCTATTATAATTATAAAATAATTAGAAGCTCCAGAAGAGCCTGTTGTTTTAGAAAAGTGAAATGCTCCAGAAGAACTAAATGTTTTAGAAGAACTAGAAATTTTAGAAGCACAAAATGCTCCAGCAAAACGAAAAGCTATAGAAAAACACATGATCGAGATATGCATAAAGATAGAAAAATTGTGTAAGATAATAAACCTGAAGTTTAGTAGTATATATCATTACCAGTTTAAGTCATCATGTTCTACTAATTATATAAAATATTATTGAGAATTTCTGTGAGAAAACTAGAAGTTTTTCACAAATAACATGTATTAAAAAATAAAATAAAAAGACCATCAGAATCACCATTTTTGGATATATTGGATAAGATATTGATTTCTTTAAACAGTCTCTAAATTATATCCTGAATATAATTTATTTAAAACCAAAAATTAGTTCAAAATGAATGGACAAAAAAAAGCCATCTTCTCTAGAGAGGATATACTGAGTCTCACATCAAAAGGATTTGATGCATAATTTCTGATTCAAATGAGTTAATTGGATATATTGTTGGTTCTAAAGTGGGATTCAATTACAGATGAATGGACATAAAATGTCATCAGCTCAAGAAGGAGATTTAAAAAATCTCAAATACGAGAAGCATATGTAAACAACTAATAAAGATTTCTCAAAATGAATTATCATTGAAAATTATGGATTTTCGTATACATGATTTTGAACCTGACGTTATAAGGATTATTCAATTATAAAATACTACTAGACATACAATTGATATGAGAGAAAATCTAATTATATCTGAATATGCTCTAATAAGTATATGTCTCTGAAAGATGACTAATCATTATGGCATGTATAAGAAACGTAATAGACAGCCTTGGTTTCTAAAATAAAAATTCTCAAAAAAGACCATATATATATATATATATATATATATATTATATTGTTAAAAAGAGGGTTAGTGTCGAGAAGAGACTGTTCTGATGATGTAATCAGTATGAAATCATTGATAATAATAAAAAGATTTTGATTAACTATGTTATTATAGGAAAATGTGGAACCGAAGATAAAATAATTGTCTGTCAGTATAAACAAGATAGCGTGCCATATAAATAATACAAATGAGGATTATAATTCTACCTCTCTCAATGAATGTAGAGAAGAAAAATATTAGTCAAAGAGTGAAAAAAGAAATCAAGTGTTTTTTTTATCTCATATGAAAAATGAGAAATGAAAAATGAGACTAATAGTCCAAGCATTAAAAGGGTATGTGTTTTTCGAGAAAGATGAATGAGAACATGATATAACGGTATGTAAAATGGCCTTGTTTCATTATAAGTCATCTCCAAATATTTGATATTAAGAAAATATTCAAATGTGGTGAATGTAATAATATTAAGTCTGGCAGTACATGAGCGAATTGAAATGTCAAATAATCTTTAAAAGATAAAGATATCAAAATTGTGTTCCCGTGAACTTAACTTGATATATATATATATATACATATATATATGTTATATGGAGTATAATAATTAAGGTTTGTCGATATATCCATGTATAATTATGGATCAAAGGAAAGTATCTTTAATTTAATCATAATCTAAACTTTTGAAAAGTTGTCACAAGCCATATAGTATTAAAGAAAATAATTTGGGAGAAGAACCCTCTGAAAAGGAGAATTTTTTCATGCATCCAAATTGAACAAGTGATCTTCTAAACATAGACACTGGAATGGAGTATATATATTCTCTTTAAGGTGTGATTAATTTGAAATCCTGAAATTTGTTTAATTGGTATTGCAGGTATCTCAATAGAACATCTCATCTCAAACAATTCCAGCAAAATCCAATATAATGAAAACTCACATTAAGCATTTTCTTACAAAATTTCTAAGCTTGAAGTTCATAAAATTTAACAGTACTCTATCAAGATTTAATGTTTCTGAATAACAAAATTTATTAGGCAGAGTAAATAAACTCAAAGTTCAGTTAAAAAAAAAAAGGGTGATGGACATAAAATTCTCCAAAACTAAAAGATTAGAGTATAAAATAAAAAAATTCCAGAAGAATCAAACAAAAGCGACGGAATGAAATATATTTCTCCAAATTTTTTTACTTATATTCAAGAGTTCGAAAAGAAATAAGAAATCGATATCAAAATATGCGTTCAAGTAATAATGCATTGGAATGCGTCATAGCATTAGAATGCGTTAACCCCAGAATCTGTGAATTAAAAATATAGGACAAAAAAATACTACTATTATCCCCTTAATACTTATATAAAATAATTTGTCCCCCTAAGACTTCTACAAATATTTTAACTTCTTCTACCCTTTTAATTCAAATTTAACAATAATAATTCAATTCTTAAAAAGTTAAAAAAAAAAAATTACTCTTACATTTTTGGTTGTAGAAGCCGCCTCCTACCACCATCATCTCCTTCATCGTGAAAACAAAAAAAAGTTCAGGGAAACAAATCTTCTTTTCTGTTCGCCGGAACTTCTTCTCTATCTCCGGTACGTTCCGGCGAACCGCCGTCCTCCTCTTCTCTTGTCTACTTCCTCCTTATTTGCAATTTCGTTTCAATAGATTGTGATGTTAGGGTTTGTTTAATCCCAAATCGATTTGGGTTTTCTGTGTGTAGGGATAGTGATTTTCGGGCTTAGAGAACTCCATCGCTGCTGTCTCATCTGATAATCTGAAGGTAATGTGTTCATTGATAGTGTTCTATTGCTCATAAATTGCAGAATCTAATTTTCGAAATTGTATAAAATTGGTTTTCTTCTTCTCTTTGTTAGCTTCCCATGATTTGTTGTGAATCAATTTCGACTTTTACATGAGAGATGTTGTAGTTGTGGAATCCTTGAACTGAATACTTTTTATTTTCTCTGCTGCATGCAATAGCTTCTAAGGCGAGTGCTGTGTGGACAGATTGTCAATCTCTCTCTCGCTGGAATATTTTTTTAAACCTCTTTTCAGGTACTTGTTCCTTCTTTTTGTGAATATATCTTTGATGGTGCTCTGCTTCTCTAAACCGTGTACTCTTTTTGAGAAAGTTTTTCTATGCTTTCGTTGATCTATTTGGTTTAGGTGATTTCTCTCTTCTTTCAAAGGCTCTTTATTTGCATTTGATTTCTGATTAATTTGAGGAGTCATGTGTTGGGTTGCTCGAGCTTCGTTGAGTCTTGGGTTTCTCAAATAAGACTTTCTCTTAACTTGTGTGTTCAATTACGGTTATAATCCAAGTCAAAGATGTGTTCTTTTGTTGTTTTGGGTAGTGAAAATTTAGTGAGAAGGGAGTAATGAAATGCCAGTTTTTGCTTATCTTTTGGCAATTTGGGATCGAAATTCTGCAAGCGAGTGTTTTGTTTTCTCTGTTTGGGATTTGGTAGGAAGTTGGGTTTTGGAGAAAATCCTGAATCTAGTCTTGATTTTGTGATTTATGGTTTTCAGTTTGGGATTTGGTAGGAAGTTGGGTTTTCTGGATGCTTGTTGATTCTAAACTATAACATAGGTTATATAATTTACGAGCAAAACAACTAAAAAGGAACTTTTTTCTTCTAAATAATTTACTACACGGTTCTTTCTTTCTTTCTTTCTTCACTGGTCTTCCACAACTTGTAATGTCATTTTTGTCTCGGGAAACTGTCTCTGAAGATACTCAGGTTTTTTCTCTTCTACTCGGTTTTGTACTTATGTATCAGCGTTATGTAAACTACACTATATAACCTTGGAATAATATACTTACTATGTTGACTGCTAGTTAGTTTCTATGATCACAAAGGGAAGTTATGTATGGAACCAGAAACTAAGTTGAAGTAATGGTTTGACGGGCATAATTATGAAAAAATTAAAGGAATCATGCTTTTTTCTTTTTCATATGGACCAACATGTGAACACGTGATTGTTTGGATAAATGGATCTTTCTTACAAACCAAAATCGAATAGAAGGTGAAGCAGCCTATTATTTAAGAATCTCTCATAAACGTGTAGTTACATAGTTTTTTTTCTTTTGCAGTTACATAGTTTTTTTGGATGATATTCTTCTTTCAAGTGCAGTTACATAGTTTTTTTTTTGTTTCATAATCCACATGGAATTTCGTGGTTTGGGTTTGTCTGTCACTGATCTCTGATTGTATAGAGATCGATCACTTTGCCTTTCATTCTGTGAAAAAATCTTTTCTGTTTAGGAAACTGATCTTCGTGTTTGTGCAACCTGTCTTATCTCTTTTACATTCTCTGTTCTGACTCTTCTTTGATCTTTTACATTACGTTTTTTTATCATTGTCTTTGATTGCTACTCATTAATCTCGTTTATGTGATGTTGTATGTATGAAGATAGCTACTCATTTCCTTAATCTTTTATTTCTTATTCGCAGGATTGGATATGGACTTGCCTAAACGATTTTTTACGCCAGGAAGTGTACCGGAAATTGATAAAATTAACAACCGCTGCACATTGTCGATTCTTGGCCTCGTTAAGCAGTACATGGAAGCAGAGTATAAGATAGTTTTGCAAGATCCAGTTTTTGGGTCGATTGTGAAGATGCATGAGAATGGTCTTGGGTATTCGGCAAGGCTGATCCACAGCATTCTCGGCAAACAGCTTATGACAGACAAGAAGCACGAACTGTGGTTCATTTTCGGACAGCGACCTCTTCGATTCTCCATGCAAGAGTATTATGCAGTTACTGGTTTCATGTTCCGGGAGACGAATAACGAGAACTGGGAAACCTGGGAGAAAGACGGTGGATTCTGGAGCAATCTGTTGGAGAGTAATGCAGGAATAACCCTGAAAATGATAAAGGATGTTCACATAAAGTCTGCTAACAAATGGAGTCGCGAGGATAGGTTGAGGTTGGTCTACGTGTGTATTATTGCGGGTTTGGTTATGGCGCAGAGTATTTACGTTCATATCCCGCGCAAATACATTATGTTGGTGATGGATTTGGAGAGGCTGCATAGATACCCATGGGGTCTTACGTCATTCGACTTTCTGGTGGAAAACATTAACAAGAGTAGTGCGGGGCTGCGAGAAGGGAAGTCGTATACTCTGGATGGATTTTCTCTAGCTCTTCAGATCTGGTTGATGGAAGCAATACCTGTTTTGGGGACAATGATGAGCACAAAAGTGAAAAATGCGCCAGTTACCATTCCTAGATGCACTAATTGGAGTGGATTTAGCGCTTTATCATTCGGAGATATTTCCCGGCTAGAAAGCACCTTCAGAGATATTGTGAGTATTGTATTTATTAAATTCATTTGTTTGGTTGATTTACTTATATTTACACCATCTCCATAGTGGTCTAACTTTATTTTTTTAACAATTTATAACAGGATGACATCTACCCGTTTATCTCTTGTACTGGGGATTTCGACGTTGTTGATTCCGCTGAATATGTTAGAGATGATGAGATGACAGATGGGAGAGTAGATTGCTTGAAGAACATGATCAGCCATGGGACAGATTGGAGTACACAAGTTTGGGAAATTGATGGAGCTGGTAGCAGATCTTGTACAGCTCGTGCGGAAACATTGGCCACCAATGGCGATAACGCATGCGAAGCTGAGACACCGACTTGCGTACCAGGTTACATCTTTGTTTAAAACTCTATCTAGTGCCTTTGAGGTTGATTTGTTATTTTTTTTCTTGATTCTTTTTCTTCCAAATACAGGTGACAAATCTGTTCCAAGCCGCGGGAAAAAAAGGGTGCGTGATCCTGGTTCGGAAGCACGTAAAAAACAGATGTTGTGGGAACGAGCTGTAGCAAAGGAAAGACATATCGATGATGGTTTACAATCCCTTATTCGAGATTTGTTTCAGAGTGCACTTATACCTTTGGAAGAGAAGATCGATAATCTTCAAGGGAAAATTGAGGGTTTAGAGACTTCTGTTGCTGCGTTGACAAGTAAGATAGGAGCACCGGCTCAAAATGCTCCACCCATCAATGCAACAAGATCAGAGGAACCATCTACAAGTGATTTACCCACAAATCCTGAAACTGTTCCGCTTCCTAAAACGGTACGAAAGACAAGAAACTCTAAGCGATGATTTACTAGTGTACCAAATATAATTCTGGTATTGTTATATCTATAACTGAAAACTTATTTAAAATGTAATATTGTATTTATCTTTTGTAAAATTATTTAAAATGTAATATTGTATGTGACATATTGTATTTATGTTTTGTAAAATATTTGGTTGTGTTGTTTTTGTCTGTTTTTTGTTGTTGATTACTTCTAAATATTTGTTTGTATTGACAGACCGTTATAAACGATGGGCCTTTGGCGGATCTCCATGATGTTCAGTTGTCTCAGTTATCAGACATTGATTTAGGATTGGGTACCCAAGAGTTCCTTGAAAAAACTTCAGGCCATCTATCTCAAGATTCGTTTGTTAACGGGTTTGATCTAACACCGGCTTTACAGCGAATGGAACATATACTGCCGGTACCCACCGTCAAGAAGTCGTCGACTTCTAGGAGAAAAAATTTCAAAGTACCCTCATTTCCAAATAATGGATACAGAGAAGATGATCCTGATTACAGTTTAGTTTTTGTTCCTGAATCACGCTTCGAGAAACTACAACAGTGGTCAATGGATAAATCAAAGTAAGTATTTTTTTTTACATAACGTTGAGTAATAGTGTTCTGAAATTCACTTGAATGAAAAGAAAATTGAGAGATTTTTTAACAATTTTTCAGTTCATTAAAATGTGGTCCTGTGGATTTCACATTCGAGGTTGCGCATCGGATTATCAGTTTTAGGAGTTGGCTACATACACCGGTACGTAATTACCCAAATACAAATATTTAATTTTTCTTCTTAGTGTAGTTGTATTCAGACTTATGTATTTTTCCAGGATATGGATGCTGTTATGTACTTATTTCGTGAGTACACAGCTTTGCGTCGATGGACTGAAGACCGTGTGGTTTTTGTGGATTGTTATTTTGCTGCCCAACTCGAGGGTGCTTACAAAAAATTGTTGGAGGGTAAAAGAACCTTTGAATTCAACAAACGGCTCCTACATTACGCTATCGGGGAGTTACCATCACATGGGAGAACAAAGAAGATTTTCGACGTTGATGTTGACAGACTTTACGCACCGGTTAACGTGAATGGTAATCATTGGATCTCTTTGTGCGTGAATTTTGTTCAAAGAACTGTTGAAGTCTTCGATTGTAATGGATTCAAGTATGGAAAGTTGGTAGAAGCATTCTCGGTTCTCATGCCTCGACTAGTGAAGGAAGTGCAGTCTCCTAAGAACAAGAAACAGTTGAATGTGAAGCCCTATGGGATCCAATATGCTCAGGTGAAACGGGGAAGTAATAAAGCTCAATGTGATTGTGGAGTGTATGCTTTGAAATACATTGAGTGTCACGCACGCGGGCTGGACTTGTCTTTGATGCATGATGACAACATTAACATTGCTCGTATGAAGATAGCATGTGATCTTTTTGATGCTGCAAACGATCCTGTCTTCATTGACCGAATGTCTAGGTATGAAACTACTTGCTTGATTTGTTTTTGTTTTTTTTTAACTTATTGGTGGAATTCCTTATATGACCAACAATTAACAGTTGTTTCGCTTCTTATATGACCTAGGTATGAGCCTATTAGCTGGGAAACGGAGGAGATTGACCTTGATCCAGATCTCTGAGAAACTAATTCGTATTATTTGTTTTTTTTTCGTTAACTTATTTTATGATGTACGACATTTTTATATAAAGTTTTACATGTTTTCTGCTATATTTATGACATTAGTTTGATAAATGATGAACGTTAATGGAAATAAAAATGCAGCGAAATAGTAAATCGATTTAAGCTGAAACATATGACAACATGTTGTTCATTTAAAAACCAATGTATCGCTTTAATAAAAAATCATTCAAGCTAACCTTAAATAAATTTGTCTATACACAATTATTGATTTCCGACCTAGCCCAACTGGTTTCCAATAAAAGTACCCTACATACGGACATGAGTTCGAAGCCCACCGAATGGTGGGTAATTTTTTTAATAAAACCTCATTCAATCAAACCTTAAATAAATTTGTCTGTACACAATTATTGATTTCCGACCTAGCCCAACTGGTTTCCAGTAAAAGTACCGTACATATGGACATGAGTTCGAAGCCCACCGAATGGTGGATAAGTTTTTTAATAAAAACTCATTCAATCTAACTTTAAATAAATTTGTCTATACACAATTATTGATTTCCGACCTAGCCCAACTGGTTTCGCACTCACATCTCTCTTCTTAAAGGAACAGTGTTCGATCGGTTTCGCACTCACATCTCTCTTCTTAAAGGATCAATGTTCGATCCTTGGTGAGTGTTTAAATTTTTTTTTTTGTTCCTTTACGATTTACAGCGCAATGGCAGTAGGTTCATCAAAACCTGTAAAAACCCAGCGAAAATTTAACCAAGAATAAACTGTTTTGCAAATAGAATTCTAAAAAAAAACAATGTCAACCAGTTCATAAACTAGAGAACAGAAATGCAAACATGTCCAAGAACTAAAAAGAGATGCCTAGATAGGCATGTCACATGTCCCTCTCTTGTGTCCTTCTAAACCACAACGACTACACTTATGTTTTTTAGTCTGCTGTGATCCCTGTAAATTACGTATTACGTCTTCCACCGTCTCATATCTTCGCTTGCGTCGTCTACCAGCTGCTCTCCGTGTTTCTGGTGCAAGAACTTTGGAATTTTCAATGTCCAATGGGACGACCCATGCATCCTCTGGAACGGCTATTGGATTAATGCTTTCTTCGTAAGCTATTCTCCATACGGCAGTGGTATACCTAGAATGCAATGTATTTTCAATGTAAGAAAAAAAAATTCGAATATTGTAAAAGAAGATTAAGATTGCTATATTAAACATTGCATCAGTAAGTGTGTGTGGTTCCTTGTTCACCGAAAAACCAGCTTTGATGGCATGTCTGCAAGGGATTTTTAACAGTGTGTACTTCCCACAAGTACATGTCCTTAGCTCCAAGTCAACTACACAATCGAATTTGTCTCCTCTAACCAAAAATCGATTCAAGCTAACTGGATGACCCGGAGTGATTTACCCTTCTCAATCCGCCTGTCAATTTTTTTTTCGATCTCAATAGTTAATGGGGCATTATGCTTTGAGCTTACTCTTCTTCGATCATAAAACCATTTGGTTAACATTTCTCTGATGTTGTCCAACAAAGGAATGACAGGAAACTCTCTGGGTGCTAACAGAACAGAATTCATCGACTCAGCTGGGTTAGTGGTTCGGATGTCATATCTGAATCCAGAAAACTTGCATCGCGCCCACTTTTCCACACCAGCCTCCATCAAGTATTTCGCAACGAGCGGACTTATGTTGCGAATATCATTGAATCGCCTCTCAAATTCAGATACCCTATATTCTTTTGACGCTTTTGCAATTAAACCAACCAAACCCTTTGTCTTGAAATGAGATGCCACATTACTCAACAAATGATGTATGCAAATTCCATGTGAAGAGTGCGGATAAACTCTAGCAAGTGCTTTAGTAACAGACACATTTCTATCTGACACAAAAGCTACACCTTGCCCATCAGCTATAACGACCAATAGCTGCCTGAAAAACCACTCCCAAGACCGATCATTCTCAGAATCAACAACCCCAAATGCTATTGGATACAAGCTGGAGTCACCATCTAACGCTGTAGCGACAAGCAGAACACCTTTGTATTTGCTTTTCAAAAACGTGCCATCAACAACAATAACCCTACGCATAGCTCTATAGAAACCTCTAATCGACTGGCCGAAAGCAATAAATAGATATTTGAATCTATTATCGGAATCAGTTTCGAAATGAGTATGCGTACCCGGATTAGCTTGTTTCAACATGTGCAAATATTTGGGAATTTTGCCATAACCTTTTTCTGGAATTCTTTTAGCAACACTAACTGCATTTTCACGCGCATCCCAAGCATGTTGGTAGGAGATCTCGCATCCATACTCACTTCGCATAAATTCCATGATTTCCCGAGGTATTGGCCCTTCTTTAACACCTTCAAACCTATGCATAATCTGTAGTCCAATTGTTTTCGCTGAAGCTGTTCTACCGATTTTTGTTTTTTTCGATGGAGCACATGTATGTTCAGCAACATACTTGTTTATTTTGAAATAGGTTGAGCCTTCTAAACATTCTGCACGAACGCTCCAGGAGCACACCCTATCTTTGCAGCGTATTGACCAGATTTTTTTTGTAGATTTCGTCACATCATAATCAAAGTTGTGCTGCATTGCACATATTTCAAAAGTCGCTTTCAAATAGTTTTTGCTTTTGAAAAGTTGCCCCTTCTTGACAGCGTCTACTAACCAACACCGAGATTGGATTTTTTCATCCTCCTCACCAAAAAAAATATCTTCAGCATCCTTGCCAAGGCCGTCTAGCTTACGAGCACCTGTTGTGCAGCCATCATTTTGCAGCTGTAAGACTAAAGGTTCAGGTTTTTCCTGCTGTTTCTCATCGCTGCCAGAGTCAGAGGGCTCTTTATTCAAATCAATGTTGACAAGTTTGCTTCTAATTGCAGATGGACCTGTCAGTGTCACACAGAGCCGAACTGAAGGGTTTTTTTTTGCATATCCAACAAAATTTTTAACTTGACGATCATTTGTGATAATGACTGGGGGAAACCCTGATTTATCAGTCAAATCACTAGGTAGATAACTGATTTGAACATGCTGATCGACGATACCATAGTCCTCTTTCACCATCATTTTTAATTCCTCAAAACTTGTACTCGATTCCAGAGTTATCAATCTTCCTCCTTTCTCTTCATCGACATTAAAATCCCACTCTCTCTTCAAACCAGAAGTCCATAATCCACATGTTACGTAGGTTTGTAACATATTTTAAAGCAGGTGGTACGAAAAAAAAAAGGAGAAAACGTAAAAGTTATGAAGAAAACGTGAAAGTTTGTATGTTGAAGGAGAAAAAACGCAAGATTGAGGAGGAGAAGAAAAAAAATGGCGACAGAATTCTCTAAATTGAAAAAAAAATATTTCAAAAATTAATTAAGAAATGAAATATTATGAAAAGGAAAGAAATATATTCTCCTAGATCTGCTCCTAAATTTTCGGAAATTCATTTAACTGAATTGTAGAATAGGTATTCTATAATTATAGAATAAAGGGTTTCCGTAGAAATGAGATTCTACTAAATTTGTAGAACAAAGCATTTCCGTAGAAACCTAATTCTACTAAGATGTAGAACAAAGAGTGAACTATAGAAATATAATTCTACTAAACTGTAGAACAATGATAAATTTATAAAATACGATTTCACAGCTTTGTAGAACATAGAAAGAAATGTAGAAAACTAATTCTATATTTTTAGTAGAAAACTAATGAAATAATAGAAAGCCTATTCTATAATTTATAGATTTATAGAATGCACTTTCTACTAATTTGGAAAATATTTGTAAAACAAATGTTTAAAATTTTTTAAAAAATATATTCTATTTCAGAAAGTATTCGTAATTCTCTTTTTGATTTTTCCAAAATTTTTTAGACTGTAAAACAATTTTTTTTTTAATTTTCGAAATCCTATAAAAGGGTATTTATGTCCAAAAATAGCCAAATTTGAAAAAGTTTTAAAGGGACAATATTACAGATTTTTTGTCCTATAAATATAATTGCCCCAAGAAATTATTTCCATCTTTTCCAAAGGGGATTTTACATGATTGTACTCTCTTAGGCTTAACTCTGGACCGATAATGGGCCGACTCATTTTAGTAGGAAGTACTTGTAGTTTTTCTTTTGTACTACATGCATGTACTGCTTTCTCTCATTGCATATCCAACAGAGTACTACTCCAACACACAAAACTGAAAACTTCCAAAATATGGTTGGAAATAAAATTATATTCAAAAATACTGTAGAAAAACGACAAATTTTAAAGGGCCCGACGAAAACTTATATTAATTTCTTTTTGCCTAAAATATTACTTCTTCGAAACTTTATATTTTTTGTCGACATTTGTTAGAATCTTAAAAGTAAATTTTATGAACTAAACCCATCAAGTAGGTAATCCCAAAAAAGAACAGTTCACTATGCAACTATGACCTTAATTTATATACATTTTATATACAGTGGTTTTTGTGTATTACAAATATGTTTCTGAATAATATTTACACCTGCCTAACACTTTCGCGTACACGTAATGAACTTCCAATTTAGAGGGAGAAACAAGCATCCCTGTTGACACGTGTCACCACTGCACCGACCTGTGGCGCGTCACGTTTTGCAAGTCCGGCTAACTCCAAACGCCGATGAGTCGACGGACGAGGAAGATTTTCCGGTACGATGGTCTCGAGTGAATTCTCAAGCCAAGGCGGGCAAGTTCTCTTGTCGCTCCACCTCCGCGGCACCACCTCTTTCGCCGACGATTTCACAACCGCCGCTTCAACTGACGCCACGTCACTAGTCTGAATCAGGCCGATCACAACAGTCGCTGCCACAGCCAAAGCAAGAGAACACTTGTTCTTCCTCGGCTCTGTCTCATCCTCTGTTCTCCTCCTAAAATTCGTGATACTTGTAATTGGTGAATCCAAGAGATGAAATAAGTTTTTAAAATTGATTGATTTTGTTGAAGAAAAGATATACCAAGAGATCCGTGATGTTGTCTTGACTAGGGGAGATGATAATTGTTTAGAGTTGGGATCTAGGAGAGGAAGATTCAGACAGCAACTTATTATCCCTGCCATTGTTATTCCCCTGTTTTTTTTTTTGGTTGCCGTTAAAATCCACCTAAAGCAAACAAATTCTGTGCCTCTCCCTCCTATATATAATAAGTAGAATGTTTTTTTTTTTTTTGTTAAAGTATAATAAGTAGAATAGGCCTCTATAATATTAATTAGCAGCTTTTATTTAAATATATACAAATTAAAATTTTAACAATATTGATTTTTTTTGTTAAAAGATCTTCATTAATTAAAAAAGTTTGCAGGAAACAAATAAGAACCAACAACCATACATAAACGAACAAAAAAAAAAACACAAAGAAGCAGATGTGAAGATACAAATGGATCCAAAAAGAGAGAGAGGCGGCATAGAGGAAGCCAAACATGACTAGGGGCTGGGCGTAAAGGACAAAGGACGTCATCTAGCAGACCAGATACTAAGAAGACGAGGGCCTAATTCGCGACCCAAATGCTGCAGAGCGAAAGCTCTGTTTCGCACCACCGTAATGATTTTCTGCAAGACTGTTTCCGGAGGAAGAGTTGCCATGGTGGAATCTGCGATTCCTTTCCTTCCATATCTCATACAAACAGGCCTGCCAGCCTTGTAAGAGAGCCATAGATCGAACAGCAGAGGAACTCGCGATCGGAAGCCACTAAAGAGTGGAGTCCCAAGAAGAGGAGCTGGACGGAGAAAGATGTAAGCGGTTTAGAACTTCAGCCCAAATATAAACCGAGTAGCTACACTTAAAAAACAGATGGTCCCTTGTCTCAGCCGAGCTTCCACAGAGGAGACATGTTGATTCGACGTCAAGTCCCCAAGAGGAGAGCCTGGCAAGCGTTGGATTTCTGTCTAACGAGAACAACCAAGCATTTGTTGAGTGCTTGGGGATAGCCACTGAGAACCAGACTACACTATGCCATTGCAGCGTGGGCTTCACTTCTCTTATCCTCATTCAAATATCTTTGGATACAAAGCGGTTACAAACCGTGTTACAAACCGACCAAAAAGCTCTATCAGCATCATTTGATACAGGCAAAGCGGCAATATGAGCCAGTAGCTGTAGCTGCAGACCAGACCTCGCCGGTGGTAAATCCCAACCTGACGCCGTACGATAGTCATGCACTGGTGCATCCAGAGAAATGCCGAGGGTTGCAGGGCCTGAAGGACCAATAAAATGAATCAGAGATCCAAGTGTGGTCCAGGGGTCCCACCAAAAGTATGTTGCATCCCCACGTCCAATCTTGATACTAAGGAATGATAAAGCTCTTGGACGAAGTTTGAGGACTCTTCGAAACATCCATGAGAAGGAGCTGCCTTTTTCATTTAACGACCAGAAGCAAGCTTTAAGAAGATAGGTGTTTCTAATCCAAGCCACCCAGATAGAACCTGCCCGAAAATAAATCATCCATATCAACTTCAAACCGCATGTCTCATTCCAGCTTCCAATCGGCCTAATACCTAGACCTCTTTCAGACTTTAGAGTAGTGACCAAATTCCATGCCACTTTAGCGCTAGTCTTACCATCAAGCTTTCCATGCCAGAGAAAAGCACCACACATGGAATTAATCTTCTGAATAACTTTCTTTGGCAGAAAAAAAGCAGAAGTCCAAAAACCGATAATACCCGAGATGACGGAATCAAGAAGCCTTAAGCGTCCTGCCAAACTCAAGTGCCTATGAAGCCAACCATTCATCTTTGATCTGATCATCTGCAAGAGCGAGTCACAATCTGAAACAGAGAGCTTTCTCGTGCACAACGGGAGTCCAAGATAACGGATTAGAAGCAAATCCAGCGCTAGAGAAAATTTATTGTTTTATCTCTTCCAAAACTCCATCAGCGACACCCAAGGCATACATAGAGGTCTTACTCAAATTAACCCCCAAACCAGACATCTTTTCAAAAAGCAAAAGGACAGTGAAGATCCCCGCCACAGATTAAATGTTCCTTCCACAAAAATCAGAAGATCATCGGCGAAAGATAGATGAGATAACCTTAGACTTTCACAACCCAGATGAAAATTGAAAATCCCATCAGAAGCAGCTCTATCAAGCATTAAGGACAAAATATTCATGGCCATAACAAAGAGAATGGGGGAAAGAGGGTCACCTTGGCACAGACCCGATCTACCTTTAAAATAACCAGAGGTGACAACATTTATGTTTACCGAGAAAGAAGGGGAGCAAATACACGCTCCGATCATGGCAATGAAGTGCTGCGGGACCTGATAAACTTCCAGTGCACACAGAATAAAATCCCACAGAATTGTATATATCAAAAGCTTTCGCAATGTCAATCTTCAGTGTAATCCTCGGCTTTAGTTGAGGCTTATGATAACCTCGAATAACTTCTGATGCGAGAAGGACATTTTCCAAGAGCAGCCTGTTTTTAATAAAAGCCGTTTGATTAGACTGAATGATATCAGGAAGGATATTTTTTAACCTGTCGGATAGAAGTCTAGTGCATAGCTTATACACCGTATTGAGGCATGATATAGGTCTAAAATCCTTCAGCTCGTCGGCACCAGGTCTCTTAGGGATTAAAACCAGCGAGGCGGTGTTCATCAATGATGGCATGAAAGCAAACTGATAGAAGTTCTGCACTGAGACTATGATTTCATGACCAATGATATCCCAAGAGGCCCTAAAGAACTCCACAGGAAACCCATCTGGTCCTGGAGTTTTCTTGAGAGGTATCTTGAAAAGCGAGGCCTTTATAGAGTCTTCCGAGAATGAAGCCGAAAGAATCCCCTGATGAACCGCAGAGCATCTAGAAAGCATCAGTCTATCGAGATAAACATTGAGATAAGGGCAATATTCACCTTTGATCGAGCAGAAGATGCCTGTGTAGTAAGCTTGAGCCATGAGGTGAACCTCTTTCAGAGATGAAGTTCTGGAACCATCACCTTGATGCAAGTATTTGATGGCGTTGGAAGCATTTCTCAGTTTTGTGATGAAGTGGAAAAATCTGGTGTTTACCTCCCCTTCCGCAAGCTACTTAATCCTGGATCTCTGGCGAAACAAACTTTCCTCAGCTAATCTCAAAGCAAACCATTGATCTCTGGCAGATTGTTTGGAGGTAAAAGTCGAAGGGGAGGGATCATTTAAGGCAAGCATCTGCGAGTCCTTCAGCTTAGAACTAGCCTCCAAAACGCGTTTTTCAATCCCACTGTAATTCTCTTTAAGAGCGACTTCAATGGACGCTTCAAACCCTTTAACTTAGCACCGATATTTTTAAGACAATGAGCCAGCTGGCCATCACCCACCCATTCTAGAGATACCACTTCTAAAAACTGAGGCAACTTGGTGAGGCAATTAAAAAACTTGAAGGAACGCGTACCAAAATCTGGAGGCGGCGTGAGGAGTTTGATGAAGCATGGAGTATGGTCAGAGAACTCTGGCGGCTGAAAAGTGCAGTGACTCGATGGGAATAAGCTTATCCATCTATCGTTTATCAATGTACGATCCAGCTTTTTACCTGTTGGAGCAGATGGTCTTTTATTAGAAAATGTGAATCTAGGACCTTGAAAAGACATATCTGATAAGTAGAGCTCGGACAGACAGTCCCCGAATAATCTCATGTCTGTCGTGGTGGTGATAAGAAAAGGATTGGGTGACTCTGAGGGATGAAGAATTTCGTTGAAGTCAACAACCACAAGCCACGGTTTTGAGTTAAGGCCAAAGGAGATGGATGTATCCTTCAAAGATTGCCACAGCTCTCTCCTCTCTTCAACCTCAGTAGATGCGTAAACAGTTGTATAAACAAAAGCTTCCCCACCCTCCAAAGTAACCTCGCAGGTAATTGATTGTTTATCCAAAAAAAGAGGTTGGATTGTTGTTGGTTGCTTGAAAATTAGCCAAATCTTCCCAAGAGGCGAGAAATGGTAATTACAGATAATGGTCCAGTCAGGACCTAAGGTTGATAAAATATCGTTCTTGCTTGTTTCACTAATGTGCGTTTCCAGAAGGGCACCAAACGCAATCGATCTAGAGTTGATCCAACTGGCGAGAGGGCGATGCTTCGACGGTTCATTAAGTCTCCGCACGTTCCAAAAAAATGTGTTACACATAAAAACGGATTAGAATTGGTGAAGACCCCCTTTAAGCGGAGGGATATCGCCACCGGTTACCGGGGAACGCTGTGATCTCCTTAACTTCTTCTTCTTCTGATGGGAAGGAGATGATGAGGAAGGAGAGTCAGTAAAAAAAGCTGGAGGAGGATGGAAGATAACTAATTCCTGGCCAGAAATAACCGCCTTCTCCTCTCCTGACTGTTCTGAAGCATCAGAGCTTTCGAGCTTATCGAATTGGTTTGCAGTCGATAAGACCAATTCAGAATCCACCATCGTTACCCTTCTGGGAGGAAGAGTATGTAATGCCTTAGAAAAACCATCATCCACTTGTTCCGTCGAGATATTAGCAATCGAATTTTCCTCCACAGCTAAAGAGCTTGACGACGAGGAATGGGGCTCAGAGATTGCCCCTTGATGCTTCGATGTCTTTTGGAACGTGATATATTCATAAATTGCATCATTTAATGTACATATTCTAGTCTAAATCATGTCTCATTTGCATGCATTTTAGGTCTTTAAGCATTGTTTTAGGACTTAGGAGATGCATTAGGTCCCAATGAGTCTTTGCATGTTTTGAGTGTTTATCAGGTGTATTTGGAGCTATTTGGAGCTGAAAAGATGGATCCAGGAAATGGAACGGTGATCAAAGCTTGAAAAATGGTGAAATTGGGTCTTTGGAGGTTATCGGCCATTCTCGCGCACCAAGAAGGTTTTTCTCGGCCAAAACGCGTACCGCGGGTGGATTTTAACGGCCAAAACGCGTACCGGCTAAAGGATTTCTCGGCCAAAATCTCCGGGTGCAAACACGTCTCCGGAATCGCCTGTCCGGGGAACCTTCCGGTCCGATTCAGCTGTCGGCTGCTTCATCGAAGTTGGATAGGATTAGATCACGGTTCCATAGAAAGTGGAATCATGGAATTCGGACGCGTGAGCAGAAAGTTAAGCTCGTCGGAAGGAATCCCTGTCTCGCTGCTGTTTTGGACCAAGCCGATGAGCTCTGAA